GGACAGACTCTTCCACCCAACACTTCCTTTTGGGGTTCTTAAAAAGAAAAGACTTTTGGGAAAGATTAGCAGAAGCAACTGTCTGCCAATAACCATTGCAGCAAGCTTTATCATCAGGGTTGCCACCTCCACTATCTCCGGGGACCTTCTTCGTCCTAATCCTGAGAAATGTCTTGACCAGACTGGGCCAAAAAAAAGGACCCAAATGACACCGCCACCTCCACTGGCACTGGTTAAATCCCAAACGTTACCTGGGATGGGACTTCATCTCCCACTTCTCCCTTCCTCCCTCCCGTGTGTCCTTTCCCTTCCCCACCTCATTTCTTTTCTTTCCTATCTCTCTTCTTTTGCCTTTTGTGTAATAAGAGACTGGCTTAGCTGGCAACATTGCTGTAAGCCTGTGACTAAAGAGGCAACTAAAAACAATGCCCTAAAACAGCTGGTAAAAGTTTGCCAGAGTGGCTGATCAGTGATAAGACTATGTGTTGGCCTGTGTTTTTCCAGCAGTGAGGCTGCAACACCAGAGCGAGAAGCTGCATTTTCTATCTTTGCTATTCTTTTCTATCCCCTTTTGTGTGTGACTGTCTTGTTTTGTCTTTATAGGAAACAGGACTGATCTGTATCATCATCATCCACAGCTCCAGCCCATCTCAACTAATTTCTCCTTTCCCCAGAAAGGCCAGCAGTTACAATCTTTAATACCATCTAAGAAACTGTCGAACAAGGGGCCTTTCTTTCTAAAAAACTCTTCAGGGAAAGGGAACAAGAGATGCTGTTAAAATAAAAACTGTATTTAATACTTTGCATTTCAAATGCTTTAACTGTTTTTCTTTCTTTTCTGTATCTTTAATAAAACCTTAAAAGAATGTTTAATGGTGCATTTGCCATCATGCTAAGCAGGCTAAGGTCTCTGTATACCAAACCCCAAACTTGTTTAAAACTATTTAATGTTGGACAGTGACTGGGCTATGTTAACACCTTTAATTCTTTGGGCCCTCTATTTAATATATTTCCCTTCACTCTGAAACAAATGCCCAGATTTTGTCAAACTCTGTTAAGAAATTTGCCCTCAACCTAGGACCAGGTATGATATATTTCAATTGTAAAGCAATAATTTCACAAGTTATAATTGTACAGAAATTTCCTTCTCACCCTAAACTAATAGTAATGAGCCATATGCTGCTCTCATTTAGACTCTCATAAATCTTGAGTAACTCTATTAACTTCAGTGGAGTTACTCCACATGTACATCAGTGAGTGACCAGAATTTGGTCCAGTATCTCCAACCCAACACTATAATTAAAAAATGGCATTATGAAAGCAGTAATCTGATTGGATGATTCCAACTATGTTTATCTGTTATATCCATACTATACTCTAGTCTCTCAACCAATTTCTCCTTAGATAAATCATTACTAAGGGAAAAATAGTAACATATTTTAAAGATTCTAGGTTAAATCCTCTTTGTTATACTGGTATAAATACAGTATAGGGGAGTACAGAATGAAATTTGTCTATTTAAAAAAAAATTCTTTTTTTCCAATTCTAAAATACACCTCTACCCCAGTATAACGCTGTCCTCGGGAGCCAAAAAATCTTACCGCGTTATAGATGAAACCGCGTTATATCGAACTTGCTTTGATCTGCCGAAGTGCACAGCCCCGCCCCCCCGGAACACTGCTTTACTGAGTTATATCCGAATTTGTGTTATATTGGGTCATGTTATATCGGGGTAGAGGTGTATTATAAACTTTAGCAGGTAAGTTCCTAAATCTTTCATTGGTGTCAGAAATGCAAAAGTTTCATTACTCAGCAGGCAACCAGCATCTAAGCATCAAAGGACAGTTTTCATTTTGCACTACTGGCTCTCTGATGCATTTCCAATCCTATTTCCACAAAAATGAAGGTTGGATCAGGTAAAGGAAAGCTTTTAAAAAAACAACATTTTCAAAGTCTAACATTAGATTTGTCACTTGTTATTTTACTCTCTAAGCGTATCCAGTAGTTTCTGATGCAAGAAGTTGGGTTTGAAGTAGTGTCAAGACATAAGAGTTTCTCAAAAAACACTTCCCCTTCCTTCCGTGTTCTAGTTATAGCCAATCACAGGAGGAGAAATACAAAAAAGCCCCACGAGAACCCCTTGAAGTTTTAAAAGAATTGTGAATGGAAGTAGGGAAGTTTTAAAAGTAAATTAAATTAAAAGCTTTTTATCTCTCATCTCTCATAGAACCATAGGGTTAGAAGAGACTGCAAGGGTCATCTAGGCTAAACCCCTGCCAAGATGCAGGATTTGTTGGGTCTAAACCATCCAAGAGAGGGGGCTATCCAGCCTCCTTTTGAAAACCTCCAGTGAAGGAGCTTCCACAGCCTCCTAGGCAGTCTGTTCCATTGTCCTACTGTTCTTACATGGTTGGGTATCTTAAAACACTTAAAAATGTATATACTTATCTTGAAAATATGACGGGGCTGGACTCATCAACAGATTAACAAATATACTAGCGCTGTACGTTTCCCTGCAGGACGTGAAAGGATTTTCAAAATTTGCAGTGTGCTATTGAGAATATAACCAGGATAAGCTCTATTAGAGAAGAGTTTTATAATACTGATTTATGGGTCATATAGCTTCCTTGGCAGCTCTGTCTTAAAAAAACCTGGGTTTTGAATAGAAAATGACGTACTGTTTCTGTATAAGCTCTCTTGTGTTGCCAAGTCATTTAAATAAAGAGTTGTGATGCATAGCTTTTGCTTCCATCCTCCTTCGTTTTGGTATAATATTTCTGCATTAAAGATGCATTAAGAACATGATCTTTTTGGACTATTTTTTGCCTCAGCTGGCAACCTCTAAACACCCTCTGACTGTTATACAGCACTGATTCCAGTCATTCAAAGGAATTTAACTATCTCAGATTTACAGAATGTGGATTCTACCAGGAAATTGCATGACTCATTGTTCTCAGAAACAGCTGGTTTCGAGGGTTCCTTTAGAGCTTGACTCTGCCATCCTTACTCATACTGAGTAGTACCTCATGCCTCAGGGAGTCCCTACTTCTAAAGTAAGGTAACTACTCAATGGGAGTATGTGTGGCAGAATCTTTGAATCTCTAGCTCCACATACAGCAAGCACAATTAGAAACGGAAGTTTATCATTTTTTGTATTTGTGCAAGTTGTGGATTTTTTGTCAAATTTGTTTTGCAAATATGGAACAGATGATGGGATTTAGCACAGGAACTTCACGCACATCTAGGGCTGAATAATAAAAATAACCAGGATAGTGGGAATTAATTTTGGCATTTCTTGTATACTGTTTCAAGTCTAGCCTTCAGAGCTTGTAATCTTCATGAGTCCCATTTATTAAGTGCAGATCTCACTAACATATAATATTACAATATCCTGTTCGTTTTTTTGAGTTAGATGAAAAAAAAGCATGCCCCCCCACTAAAAAAAAGGAAACATATAGACAAAATATTTCAATGTAGAGAGCTAACAATAAAAGTAAAAAATGAAGTTAAAATAATGTTATAGCTAAAAAAATGCCAGAAACTCAAGAAATTCACAGTTAAAATTTAAACACCAAACTTAATTCAGCACCTCACAAACCCTCTGCCTATAAACTAAAATAATCTATTTCCTAGTCCTCCTTATCTCCGTTTATATTCCCAATACAGTCCATGGAATATATATCACTATCTTTAACCATGCTGCACTACATACAGACTGTGACCATCTATATACAAGGATGCACCAGAAGCTCACTTTTCCAGTCCATCTTCTCAATACAGGCCAGATCATCTTATCTTCACAAGTAGCCCCAAGACCACACCCCTCCTTGTCTATCCATGCGCCAGAAAGCCTATTTCACCTAATTCATCTTCATTGCACAGACGGAAAAAATCTTTTATTTGCTCTGCACACATTCCCCGTAGGGGTCAGAGACTGGATACAGAGCTCCATCTTTACCTTGATCATTCTATACATGCTGTCCACAGACTCCAGCGCACTCATACACTTTACAATGGGCTTTGTTCCTGCTCTATCTTCTATAGAGCCAATATGCATGTGGGCCCTGCTTGGCAGCCTGCTTGGCCTCAGTCAGAATACAACTCCAGCTTCTGCCTGACATCATTCCTTTAGGTGGCTTCCCAAATCATGTGACAACCTGCAGGGTCACAATATGCCCAGTGCATCTTCTCACACAAGGCAAAGCTAGCAAAAAGCAGGTATTAGCAATCAGCTGTGAACTACCCATTGGCAAATTTTGGTGTTCTATCTAGCATGTAGTTTAAATCCCAAAGATACAAGCATAGTCTCTTAACATGCTTGACACACTCTCAATCTGCAACGAACACCATCCTACACCGTAAGTCCGTTGGAAAAATGGGTACAAGTTACAGGATCGCACATCAGAAGAGCAGAATTCATATACTCAGCAGGACAAACAAATAAAATATAGCAACTACTGATAGTCTCCAATCCACATATTAAAGATGTGTATTGCATCCATAATGGAATATCTTGAGTTTTTAGGGTTACTTAATTGTATTTCCAATCTTACCTCTATATTAAGAAAAATTGGTCTGGGATTTAGACAGAAATTTATTTACGGAGGTGACGCAACAATCTATAAGCAAAAGCTGTCCTAAAATACATCCCTAGCACCACTTAATTTGTTTTTGGCTTTATGTGTTAACATATTGAAAAACCAAACATTTCTATAATCATTTCTAAAATAATTAGCATCATGAATATGGGACCTGATTGTCCTCTGCTTTGCACTTGTGTAGTCATTTAAGTCTGTGCAAAGTGGGCGTAAATCACTACCAAACCAGAATGGTAGCATTTTACACCCACTTTGCATGGTGTAATTGACTAGGAAAAGCATAAGGCAGTGGAGAATTAGGCTCACAATGTCCACATTTCTATTTAAGAATGGTATAAAGTGTTTAAGAATTAAAAGATCTTGGTGATACTACTGGAATCCAGATAATAAAAGAAACTGTACCTTTGGAAGGAGCTGGATTGCCTGTAGAATTCTTTGCCGGTGTCCAGAGTTAAGTATTCCTATTTCCAACAGATCCTGATCCTCCATTACATTGCTTCCCTGAAAAAGGAGATATTCAAATCTGAAAGATCCTGAAACAAACCTTTAAACTATGTTTAAAAGAGAATAACTTTATTTAACATACAGTATGACAAGAATAATAAATTACTGATGATTGCATTGATTTCCAGGTCTACAAAATGTGAAAGGACCTTGAACTCCTGGACAATTACTAGTGTGCTGACAGTGCTGCCAATGGAGAAACTGCAGTTCCCACTAAAAACAAATCCCATAAGTGAAACTTTCTCCTCTACCCTCTGTCATTTGATTGAGGACAAGGACGTAATCATAAAATGTAACTACTGTATATGCATACAGTGCCTCATCTGTTTCTTTCCCCCTCCCCCATACCTTTTCTTCTTCAAGTTAGAAAAAACATCACATACAATAAGATCAACACAGTGGATGCAGTTAGATAGAATTATTTAGTAATGTGTTAGTAAAATGCCTTGTTAGTAAAATGGCTTGCCCTTGGGCTGGAGAGGCTGGGGCAAAGCAAACCCTGATCACAGAATGAGCTCCATCTGAGAGGAGTCAGGCAATTTCTTATAAAGAGCAAAAGGTGGAACCAAGAATCAAATTTGGTCCAAAAAGGACCTAAAAACTGAAACCTATCACTAACAGTGGCTATACTCTATATCTAACTAACTACTAAATGACAAAAAGACTATATACAAGTGTGAGGGAAATAAACTTGCGATAGAGGACTGGAAGTGCTCCAACAACCATCATTGGCTGTAAGAAGGAACTGAGGGGTGTCGGGGCGGCTCTGTCCTTATACACCTCTACCCCGATATAACGCGACCAGGTATAACACGAATTCGGATATAATGCGGTAAAGCAGCGCTCCAGGGGGGCAGAGCTGTGCACTCCGGGGCGATCAAAGCAAGTTCGATATAACGCAGTTTCACCTATAATGTGGTAAGATTTTGGCTCCCGAGGACAGCGTTATATCGAGGTAGAGGTGTACAAGCATGCAGAGGTGTGTGGCAACAGAGGGTGCTCAAGTTGCCCCAATGGTACTGCTTGGAAAAAGTTCTCCGACAACTGTGCACAAGACGTGCACACACCTACACTGGAAGAGACATATGCAATCAATCTTAACTATTGGTATTGTTATTTGCTCCACCTTCAATGAAAACACCAAAGGCTTTGATGCTGTAGGTTTCTTATGTCTGTTCTATAGTCAGCTTTGAATTGAAGTAGGAAAGATCTGTAAAGACTGCTTGTAGTGGGCCAGATTCAGATCCCTCTTATTCCAGTTCTACATTAATGTGACCTCATTCCCTTTAACGTATTTCCTCGTGATTGACTTTAATAGAACTATGGTGATCTACACCAGCTAAGGTCCAGCATGCTTTAAAGCTTATGTAAGTTAAATTCTACTCTTGTTTTAAAAATATTTCTTCAGTTAATTTAACAGTTAAGATAAAACACTGCTAAATAAACCATCCAAAGTTTAAAAACGTAAAACTCACCTTACAATAAACTTTCAAACAGTGCACTTTTTCCTTCAGGCCTAATCTGCATCAAACTATCAAGATAGCAATTTCCTGTTTGATAATTATTCTTTTAAAATTACATTTAAGGCATTGTAAGACTTGTAAAATTAGTTATTTACAGTTCCCTGCAATTAAAGTAGTTATCAAATATTTTTCATATTATGCTGCATTTTCCTTCAATAAACACTTTTTGCATGTGAATCAGTGTTGGAAGGAAGTACTTGTTTCAAGCAAAGCTGCTAACACGTCAATAAAGCAAACACATTACTTACTTATGACTTACTGTAGCATTTCTGTGAACACACTGAATATGCATTATTAGTGATGGATGAATCTCATAAGGCTTGGATATTCATTTTAAATCTGCACCTGGGCTGGAAATCTTATGAGAACAGCCTTTCCTATGAGGTTGCTTTTCTGTCTAATCAGGTTTGAAATGCTGATTTTTGGCAGTCCCATGTCTAGCCTCAAATTATGCCTTAATTACATGTGTGCAACCCTATTGTCTTCAGTGGAATTACCCAGGTATAACAGATCAGAATTTGAAGACAAAGGGGAGGTCTTGCATATGAATTCTGGACAGCAATTCTATACAGAGATTCCAATACCAGAGGGGACTATTGTGATTATCTAGTATAACACAGACCATTGAACTTTCGCCCAAAAATTCCTGAAGCACAACTTTTAGAAAAGCATCCAATCCTGATTTAAATATTGTCAGTGATGGAGAATCCACCACAACCCTTGGTAAAATGTTCCAATAGTTAATTAGCCTCACTGTTAAAAATGTATGCCTTATTTCCAGTGTAAATTTGTCTAGCCTCAGCTATTAATGATGCATAGGCCAGGAAAGTTCACTCTCCCAGAGCTCTTTTGGTTCTGCATACCCATCAGTAGTAAGATCTTACTTGTTTCCACTGAAGTAAGCCAATAGAACTCTGAATACACAGGAAGATTTGCTGAGTAAGACAGTTCCAGTCCTGAATAAGTCAGGACCTTGTGGTGCAACGGTAGCACGTCTGACTCCAGATTAGAAGGCTGCGTGTTCAAATCATGTCAGGGTCAATTGAAGTTTTGGGGGAGGTTTAGGTTGAATATTAGGAAAAACTTTTTCACTAAGAGGGTGGTGAAACACTGGAATGGGTTACCTAGGAAGGTGGTGGAATCTCCTTCCTTAGAGGTTTTTAAGGTCAGGCTTGACAAAGCCCTGCCTGGGATGATTTAGTTGGGAATTGGTCCTGCTTTGAACAGGGGGTTGGACTAGATGACTTCCTGAGGTCCCTTCCAACCCTGGTATTCTATGATTCTATACACAGCAGTTGGACTCATAACAAAGACAATCTGGCTTTTCAAATGGAGAGGTATGAAAAATCATATTAATCCCCACTTCAAATTCTAAAATAGTTTCTGTAAATAAGTAATAAACAAATGGCACGATAGTGTAGTATAAAGATTTTACTGGCATTCATTTAGGATGACCTTGTAACAGGGCACTCACCTCTTAAATGCTCACAGTCCTTTTCTCCCTCTGATGCCCCCTGTAGGCTACCAACTGGCTTTGGTGGATCTTTAGTGGTTTGGCCCTCAAGCAAGTCACAAAGTCTAAATGAACTCCTTCCCAGGGTATTAAAGAGTCCAATAAATAAACAGTCTTTCTGCCCTTGCTAGGGTCATCAGCTCTGACTCTGGGCCCTTAAAATTCAGCCATTTGTTCGGGCTGAATTTTAGCCTGAACAATTTTAGCTAGGATCGGCAGGGATGCAAAACCATACTTTGAAGTGTCCCTGTTTGCCAGAAGCTAGGAATGGGCAACAGGGGATGGATCACTTGATGATTACCTGATCTGTTCATTCCCTCTGAATTACCTGGCATTTGCCACTGTCAGAAGACAGGATACTGGGCTAGATGGACCATTGGTCTGACCCAGTATGGCTGTTCTTATGTTCTCCCAAACAAAGGTCTGTCCCCCACTTGGGACTTATGCCACTTTACCTGTGGCCAGTAGGGGAACCAGGGCCCACCCACTACTCCAGGTTTCAACCCAGGAACCCTATAAACATCAGCCATGTACTACTTGATTCAATTCATTGCTGCTTCCTCCCTGGGCCTCATTAGCTTCACCTTTATCTCAGGGTTAAGGTTCTTAGATCCTCTCTCTCCCTGAATACCCAACTATGTAGAATGCAGCCAGAAAAACTCTGGCTATTCTTCAATTTCCTTTGCCCCTCTGGTCCCAGCCAGCAACTGACCTGTTAAGGCCAGGCAGCTTCTTTCATTTAGGCCAGTGGGGCCCTGATTAGTTGTTGCTAGACCCTCAATAAAAGGCTCAGCAAGTCTAGAACCCAGGCTTACATAGCTGCCAGGTAGCAGACAGCTCTATGCTGCCACTCAGTAGCAGCTAGAACCAGCTTACGCTCCATTGCCCATGACCTGCTTGGAGACAGACTATGGGAAGTCCTGTCTCAAGAGGTCTGACAGGCAGCAGCCTCATTGCTCTTGGTTGGCTCCCCACCCTATCTAAACCCAAAGGGCATTCCAGGAAGCATACAGGCAACAGTGCAGATCTCCTGTAGCTGCCACAACCATTTCTGCTTCCATACTCCTGGTTTTGACCTCAGCTTGTTTTGGACTTTGTCTCCTGAGTCAGATCCTGAAATCTGACTCAGACTCTGACCCTTGGTATCGACCCTGGCCTGGAACCTCACTGTGAACTCCTCCACTACTCCCAGCCTCAGGTTTGCCCCTGCTCTTCTTGTGGTCCTGACTCTCTAGCCCTTGGAGAACCAGGTCTCTATGGTTTGCAAAATGGCTGATCTAGAGACTCCTCTCTAGAAAAGTTTGGAGGACCCACCTTCACTGCTCTTTTCCTCTCAGCTTGCTGCTTCTTTGGGCAGGGTGTAGTACAGCGGTTCTCAAACTGTGGGTCCAGACCCTGTTTTATTGGGGTCACCAGGGCTGGCTTAGATTTGCTGGGGCCCAAGTCAGAAGCCCAAGCCCCACCTGCTAGGGCCGAAGTCTGAGGACTTCAGTCCTGGGCATCAGTGCTCCGGTTACAGGCCCCCTGCCTGCGGCTGAAGTCGTTGGGCTTTGGCTTTGGGCCCCCCACCCAGGGCAGTGGGGTTCGGTCTTTGGCCCTCCCCCACCTAGGGCAGCAGGGCTCAGACAGGCTCAGGTTTCCATTCCCCCTCCTGGGGTCGTGTAGTAATTTTTGTTGTCAGAAGGGGGTCGTGGTGCAATGAAGTTTGAGAACCCCTGGTGTAGTAGGTCCAGGGGGCACCCATCAGCACATACCTCCCACTGTAGTAAGGATTTGGGGCTCTTCCCAGGGATAGGGTTCCCTCCTTGTCAAGGCTGATTTCACACTTTGGCACTTCGAGTGCAGAAGATGGGGCCCCGCAAGGATTCTAAAAAAAATTAATACGGCCCACTCCAGGCTGGTATTAAACTTCCAAGGTCACAGCTTCTCTCTGACCTTGGATGGGTAGATGCTGCCACCAC